GAGTATCACCTCTGTTTGTTTCGTTTTTTTTTTTTCTTTTTTCTTATTGAGTTTATCAGTACATTTTAGGTATACAATACAGTTACATTCATCATTGGGCTCTTGTACCTTGACATGACAGGTCTTGGTTCTCATTTTTTTCCCATCATCTGCCCTCCCTTCACCCCCTCCTCCCTTCCCTATTTACAAAAACTTTATTTCCATCTTTTTCATTTTCTCATATGTTTCCCTTATATCCTTTCCCCTACTCTTCCCACTTCCCCTACACCTTTAGCCCTTTTCTTCCTATTACACACTGTCAATTATACCATTAGAATATTATTTACTATCATAGTTTTTCACACCAGAGAAACTATATGGTATTTACAATGTGTGTCTTATTTATTTCACTTTAAGAGTATGGCCTCAATATGCATCCATTTTCCTATGAATGACTCTAATCTCTCATTCTTTATGGCTGAGTAGTATTAAGATGTGGTTTTTCTATAAAATGTTTGTTTGCTTTTTGAGACAGGGTAGCCCAGGCTGATTTCAAACTCTTGTCTCAGCTTCCCAAGTGCGGGGATTACAGGCATACGCCACCAAGCACAGCCATCTGTGAGTCTGTTTTAATTCTCAGAGTGATCTCTTAAAACCACTGATTAATCATGTAATACCTTTGCTTGAAGTTATTTTTAAATTTCCAATTGATTGGTTTTTGGAAAAGATTTTTGATCCTTCCTGTAACCTCTATATCCAGGAAAGTGCCGAGTCCAACCTTGTTTGCCATGTTTATCATCTACCACTCTTCCCCTCACTTCCTCCATACTGCCACATTGGAGATCTCTCTCTACCTACCATGGTCTTTTCCACCACAAAGGTAACTCCCTCCATTTATTTTCCATTATTCCATATTGTTTGTCAGTTTTTAATGTCTTACCCATAAGGAGCTTGTTATCTAAGCATTTTGTTCGTTAGAATATACTCAATGACTTAAGACAACTTAATCTGAAGTTTTCACTGTTGGTTAATTCAAGAGATTAAAGAAAAGATGCTAAAAGAAGATGCCACCTTGAACATAGAGCAATAACAATGAAGACAGGAACAATGTAGACACTATTTAAAAATAATCCTATCCCAATCAAACACAGATTTGGTTAGTAAAATCTCAGAATGTACCACATACAGAGTCTATACCTAGTTTGCTACCAATATTTAAGAACTGAAAGTAACTTAGAAATATGATAGCAAATATGCAGGAGCAAATCAATAGAGCTGAATATAGCTGAATTCTCCATGCCAAGTACCTATAGCTTTAAAACTGTTCCAATGATGCATTCATTCTGTTAATCACTTTAAAAATAATATTTCAAATGGCAATAGAAAATTTTTATTGTAATAAAGTGGACATCTATAAAGAAAATATAAAAAGCACTCGTTACTTCTATTAAAGAAAACAATATTTCATAACAAAATATTTATAGAATAATAGTTAATACTTTGTGTATTATCTTAAAATGACTAAAATGTTATTCATAGTTGAAGTCATAGACAAAAAAGACTCTTACAAAGAAGAAACAAACAGATAAAAGCACAAAACTTTCTCTTCAATGAACTAGGAGAACCTGTACTATAAATAAAACAAGTTAGTATATATATTAAAATAGTTTTGAAACAATGGAAGAGATAATTTGGGGAATTATTTGGATTTATCGCTACTTCCTATATTCTAACATATTAACATTTTTTTCTAATAACAAGAAAAATCTTACATCTCAGGCCTGGTATTTGAACTGACTAAAATTATTCTTTTTTCTAAACCTAAATATTTCAACCCTAGGGAAAAGAAAACAAAAAATATCATCAAGCTATAAACCAATACCTTAAATTCGGAACAGCTGTTCCTGCCATCTGTGTGTCATCACATGACAATGAGAGTGGAATTAACTGTGCTCCTGCTGCCTCATAGCTGCACCGTCCCCGTTTGCCTTCACTGCTTCTCCACCATCACTTAATGGAAGATTACACACTCAAACCACAGTTTGGCCTACCTAGAATGTATATATATGCTTAAGTGTGGATGTACATGTTTATGTTTTGAATGAAGGTGGACAGAACAGGGGAATGAAGAATGAGGAATGCTTGTAATAAATACACCTGAAGAACTAGGTGTGATTGGGCACACCTGTATCCCATCACTTGGGAGGCTAAGGCAGCAGGGTTACCTTCAAGTCAAGGCCAGCTTGGGTTATATCATGAGATCCTATCTCCAAAACCATAAGATACAAAACAAAATAAAATAAGAAATACATCTGAATATCAGGGAAAATCTCATAAATTTCTAGTTTTGTAGTTAATTTCATAGATAACTATTTGATTGCATTACTAAGCACAATGCACACTAATCAGTGCAAAAATGGTGGGGGGCAGTCTTCCAGTTTCACAGTGGATATTATCTTCCCTGCCACACTAAATCACAGAAATTAAAGAAAATGTATTTTAACAAATAAATTAAAATACAGTAAAAAAAAGAAAGTCATTTAAAAGCAAGAGAGAGAACAAGTTATGAGATAAGAATGATGTCAGCATCCGTGCCTCTCCTGGGAAAGGTCTAACCTAGGAAATGAGACCTGGGATGCAACTGTTCCACACCTGGGGAAACCGATCCAAGAGCAGGAGGCCACTGGCAATATAATCAGTCGGAACACCACGAACGAAGGAGTCCAGCAAGTTCCCACTCCATGTCTCTCTCCCTGCCTTCCTGTAAGACAAACAGTAGTATCTATCTTCCCACGGAAAGAGAAACATGGTACTTCAAATAGGGCAGTGTACCAAGTACTATATGGAAGTAACTCCCAGCCTGGTGGATGTAAAGAGTTCCTGTCTCGAGACAGTAGACAATGAACTCAAGGACAAAGGAGGTGGAGAACAGGAAGAGCTTGTTAAGAGAAAGCTCCTGAGAGGCAGAAGGGGTCCCGGAAGTTGGGGGCTGCTGAAGCTCTTTGTCTTGGGGGTTTGTAAACAGCAAAATCACATTGCCAGTTATCTGGGGTAAAACTATTATCAACCCGTGGGGTTACAATATAGTCACTGAGCTAATGACACAATAGAAAAACAAGGTACTCAGCAACGGTATGCTCTAGAAAAAAGGAGTTTCTGGAAGGGATAGAAGTGAGAGTCAGAGCATTCTGGTCATCTAGTAGGTGTTTGTTATGTAGTTTCTAAAGTGTTTGTTACATTGTTCAGGCTTAGTGGACCAGATGGTGCTAGTTAAAGAACAGCTTTGAGCTGCAGTTTACCTCTGAGGAGGCTTGTAGGCCTAGCCAGAGTGTCGCCATCTTAGGGCCTAGTTTCTTTCAACTCAGCCCTGGACTATAGCCCTGTTTTTGCCTCTCCTCTGTTCTGACTCTGTCTTCGGCCTGGTCCCTTTCTAACTGCCTATCGATGTCTACCTAATTTGGCTATCTGCAATAAGACACGGGAGACATTAAGGAAACCAGAAGCACTATATCGGTAACAGTCATCAAGTTACCTCACCAAGCATAATATTCTTAAACAGGTTTAAAGAGGTTGTAGTAGAATAAATATTTCAGGAACTAATAGCCTACAATTTTCCAGAACCAGAAAGACATGAAACCTCACAAAGAGCCAATGTTACACAATGAAAAACACAGATACCTGAGGATGAAAGCTTAGGATAGTAAGTAAAGAGAGGAAAATCCTGATACTTCTAGAGAGAAGATACATTCCTCACAGCAAAATAAGAATGGATTGATGTCCAACATCTTTACCAGCACATTGCTTACAATGTGGCAGAATGCTGAATGTGGAATTCTGTACCGAATTGTATTGCATTAAGCAAAAACATTTCAGAGCTAGTAATAACCAAGAATTTTGTGGACTTGTCTTCTAGTTCTGAGGTTAGCTTATTATTAAATATTCAATTGTGTTTTAGCCGTATTCCAGGTGTGTGGGTGCTCCTATCTATCCCTGGGCACCCTGCCAGTTGCTATGACTGAATGCAGTCATTGTTTTCTCTGCTACTGTAGAGATTGCTTGGAAACTTCACTCAGTTTCTGCCTTTCATAACATGCTTACATTTTAGCTCTTTCCCTGTGGCTCCTCACTACCATAAAATGAGGATCTCTTAGATTTTAAATCCCTGGAATCCTTGTCTCTGGCATTGTTCCCATCCTGACAGCCCATCTTTGTATCAGTCCTGCATGTCTGCCAAATCTGAGTCATGATCTCTCCCAAACTGGCTCTTTCAAACAGCACTTCAACTTCAGTTAGGGCAGATTAACATTTTACTAGAACATAAAATTATATGTAATTTTAGTGTTTACTTCTACAAAGTACCTATGAGAAATCAGAAGGGATAAAGTCTTCTAGGCTTGGATTTAAATCTTAGCCCAGCAATTTACTAATGGAATGTCTCAGGGAGTTTTACTTAACACACCTAAACCTATTTTTGGAAAGTAGGAATAATAGCTTTTTCTCCTCCAGGGTCATTGTTCAAAACATTTAAATGTGAATTTTCTCATCTTCTTCTCTTGTAATATCAGTACAAGTTTTGCAGGGAAAGAAATTCATTTAACCTTAACCTACTTATTACCTAAGAAAAAATGTCATTTCCACAACATGAATAATAAGTAAAAAATTAGTCAAATATACAAGGCAGAATTTTAATTTACGCATGTTGCCACCTGCAAATAACTACTTAAAAACAAATTATCAAATATTTATTGAATGCATGTATTATGTAAAGTCCTCTTAACCATGTTTATGCCATGCAGTTATACAACGTTTATATTACTAAAGCATATAATCAGAAAACTTGGAGAAACTGTCAACCTAGTTAAGTGGACTATATTTTTCAAGCAAATCCGCACATTCTCTTGTAGTACGCAGATCTTTTGGGACAAATCATCAGAATATTTCTTAGTAAAGATGGTATCATATCACAGATACTGGTCCTGCAATTTTAATGTACTCAAACACCTTTTACAGTGAATACCTACCTGCTAGGTTACTCAGAAATTGGAGGTGTCTGGACTTGTTTCTCCACCAAGGAGTTGAGACTCTGTGGTTTCTGCCTTGTGTCCACAGACTTTTGGCTGAATTTTTCTTTCTTCAAATTTATTTTGTCTCCAAATATCTTATCTTATTGATCTGACAGCTATCTTTAAGATGGTTTGGATATGGACTTATTTACCAGTTTATTCCTCAGTTACTTCCCTTTCAAATCAAATATACTACCCATTTCTAGGAGTGTTGCCAGCCACTTAGGTTTTTACACATAGGTTCATTTGCTTGATGCTGACCAAATCAAAGGTGGCCAGTTATTATGGTGAAAAGAAAAAAGGCTTTATTGAAATCTGGCTCCTGGAAGATGGGGGGGCACCACTCAAATCACCATCTCACCATTTGTATGTACACTAGGGTCCTTATAGCAGGGAATAGTTTGCGGGGTTATCAAATAAGGATATAGAGATGCACAGGCTTGTTTCCTCCCTGCTGGGAGCCAGACTTCTTTCCCTGTGGAAGTGACACTGGACTTTGACCTCCTGGTGCCACCATCTACATGGTCTGTCCATTCTTCTGGGGTGAGAAGAGGTGAGGATGGCAGTGTATACCGCAGGCCTGAGGAGCTTTGGAGAAGCCATTTGTCTCTGAAAGAAAAAATATTCAAATTTTTAAATTTCCATTTTGCAGTTTCAATGCCATTTATAACAAAATTTGGAGTAGAAGCTTCCAATGAGCAGGTGGTGTGTAGTTTTCTCTGTTCTAAGATGGAAAGTGGGTGGGTACTTTTACCCTGGTAAACAAATAGTTTTCCATTACTCTTGGAAGAGTGGCTCAATGTAGGAGAGTAGCCTCCAGGCAGGCTTGTAGAGCTCTACACTTGTATCCAACTTATTAATGTAAATTTGGTTCAAGAGCAAGGCTGAATATTGACAGAGGTAGAGTTCTTTTAAATTTGGATTTAGCTTACTGAGCCTTATTACTTATTACCTGAAAATTACCATTTCATTCTTGGAAGTTGATAATGTTGTTGATAATTTTTGTTGAAATATCTGCTTCCAGGAGTATGGAAGATGAGTTCATGCCACACACACAATTTCAACTTTCTTTTATTTCATCCTGAACAAGATTGAAGAGAATGGTACTGGACTTGGTAGAGTGAGAACTGCACTGTAATAGTAGAGAACCACTTTTTCATCCATAGAAAGTGTTATTTGAAACTAAATTGGATGAACTTCTGAGACTTTTGAATAGACCATGGAGCCAAATCCTGATAAGAATTAAATTTTCACTCTCATGCACTATGTGAGTCTCTCTCTCTCTCACCTCTCTCTCTCTCTCTCTCTCTCTCTCTGTGGGTGGGGGGCATGTGCCACGTGGATGTCTGTTGGTTTCTGTGCAGGGACTCTGAAATGTAACTGGGTGCTAGGTTCTAGTTACTTCTGGTAGCAACTGTTAGGAAATGGTTCTAAACTATGTCTCATAGTTCTATTTTGGTCTACAGAAATAGATACTTTAGTCACAGCAATGCCTTTAAAAAATCAGTTGCCAGTGTTGAAAAATGAGATGATTTGGGGCTGTGTGTGGTGCATATGACTATAATCCTAGCATTCAGCAAGCTGAGGCAAGAGGATTGTCATGAGTTTGAGGCCAGCCTGAAAAACACAGCAGGAACTTGCCTCAAAAACAAAACAACAACAAAAATATGATTTTACTTAAAAAATATGAATTTCAGAATTCTTTTGCAAAATCTATCTGGAAAAACTATCTTTGTGTAACCAGCACAACAAAAGAGAACTCAAAAAATTAGATTGTTTTCCCTGAGAGACAAGTGGAGAGTTATCCTGTCTTTCGAAGGCACTGCATGAACACAAGAGTAGAGCTAAACATCATCACCTGTTGGTGTTTGTAACTGGATACTCCCCTCAAAGCCTCATGCACTCACTGATGGGAATTTGGAAAGTGACTGGATCGTGGGTGCCTCATGCTCACCAGTGCACTAATCCATGGATGAGTTTATAGCTAAATGTGATTTGGAAAGTGAAGTATGGTTGGAGAAAGTGAGTCACTGCAGGTGTACACTGGAAGGGTGCCTTCCCTCCTTTCTTGATCTCTCTCTCTCCCTCTGGCTGCATGCTATGGACTGTTTCTCCTCTGCCATGTCCCTCTGCCATGCTGCCCTGACTTGGAGGCAGTTGGCTATGGACTGAAACCTCTACAAACTATGAGACTAAGTAAACTGAAGTACTCTTCAGAGTTGTGGTTGTGATTGTCTCAGCAAGGAGAAAGTAATTAAGGCATCATCCACGGAGGTATGGTGTTTTAGCTTTGCTTTAGAATCATTTCAAGATCTACAACATCACGGCAATTACAAAGACTGTCAGACCAAAAACATGGGAAGATTAAAAAGCTTCATTATGTTTGATTATTTTTTTAAATGCATTCTGTTTATATGATTAATTTTAAATCACTTTGTGATTAAAAAATATATCTACGAACAATATCAATTTTCTATGATTTATATAATATACCATATGCCATAATAAAAGAGAAGTGAAGCAAATGAAAAGATAGAAGAGTTTTCACACACAAAAAATTCAACTTTACAAAACATTAAATGGTCAACTTCATAAAGTATTGTCAAATTTCTGTAAGATACATTATGAATGAGTACTCCCATAAGCAGGGTGTAAGAGTTCCTGTGTCCTTGTTACTGGATGATGGGTCGAGGAATTCTTTCTAGGTTTTTGGTATCCTGAACAAAACTGAACAAGACATAAATAAAAAGTAGCAGGATACATGTTTATTAAAGGTGGAAAAGAAGTATTCTTTGCAGAGTGAGGGCAAGCCTATGAGCAGATTCACAATGGCCATAAGGATGAGCAAAGGGGTCATCTGTTTCTGAAATTCATGGATTAGCTCTTTCCCTGTGCAAATAAGGCACTGGGATGTTTGTTCTATCAAAAACTCACTTGGCCTAGTGCTAAATTTGAACTGTCCTATTGAAGACTCACTTGGTTTTGTGACATATGTAAACAAAACATTGAAAATAGCACTTTTCTGGCCAGGGATGTAGCTCAGAGGCACATCACACGCCTGGCAAGCTCAAGGTCCTGAGTTTGATCCTTAGTAATGCAGAAAAAAAAAAAAAAAAGGAAAGAAGTGGGGGGATAACACTTTTCTGATTGGATCTGTGTACTGTGCTCAGGAGCCTGAGTCATCCTGGATCCTGTCTTCTGTGTATGTGCCCTGGGTCTTCATGGTATTGACAGATTTGTTTTACCCTATCCCTAATCTACCTCACTTCCATGATTACTTTCTCCTTGTATTTCAATATTAACAAACGAAATATTCTTGGTCTTCACTCTGTTCCTAGTATTCATGGGGAATAGTGTATCTAAAGAATTGAAAAAAGCATTTGTATCATCAATGAAATGCCAACAAATCTCACAAATTAAGTGCATAGAATGTGCAATTAAACTGAGGATTTAAACTGATCAGCCTTTTATAAAATCTGAGCTCTTATTATCCTGACAGTAAGTGCTACTTTTTCTTTTTCTTTTCTTTTTTTTTTTTTTTTTTTTTTTTTTTTTTTTTTTTTTTTTTTTTTTTTGTACTCAGGACTTTGTGCTTATGTGGAGGAGGAACCACTGAGCTGAATCCCTAGTCCTAGTAAGTGCTACTTTGAGAATCAGGCATCAAGATTTCTCCTGACTCTAGGGAATCTGTTACTTGGGTCCTGGCATGAGATCAGTAGTTATCTTTTTGTCAGGCTATGCTCCCTGTTTTTGTCACTGTGAGGATTTAACGTGATTATTTAAAAGTCAGCATAGGAATCAGCACACCACAAGCAATTGATTTATTCACTGATTCATATAACAAAAACTTATTTCTAGAAGTATTTTCTAATGTAGAGGTCTAACACTGAGATACTGTGCCTTAACACACTCTAAATAATGTACATATCCTAAAAATATACATGGAAACATGCACATATACAGATCCATCTACCATTCTATTGAGACAGGCAAAATATATGTTCTTATAACTAGAATGTTTCATAATAGCATATTTTTGTTCCTGAACCATATTAGAAATTATTTGAATCAGGAAAAGAAAAAAAGGGAGCTGACAAAGAGGAAGGGGTAAGAATGAGAAATGGGTGTGGTCATGCACACCAACAATCCCAGCACTCAGGAGGCTGAGGCAGGAGAATTGTTTGAAGGTAGCCTAAACTACAGAGATCCTGTCTCAAAAATAATCAGTCAATTAATCAATCAGTCAATCAAATGAGGCCAATGAGAGGCAAGACAGGGTTGATCCAGGACAATTTCTGTCTACTACAAAAAGGACCAGAATGACTAAGGATTATTAAAAGCAGTGGCAAGATGGTCATTCCTCCTAAACCTATCATGCTTAGAAGCCAGCCAAGAAATAGTCAATTTTTGTCCATAAAAGAAACAAGTAACCCAAGTTTTTTCATCTGAAAACTCTTTCACCTGCTTCCTTGCTGCTTATTGAGTGATAGCCTCACTTCAGTCAAAGTGAGTTGTCTTTTTATTACCCCTAGAAAGATATACATTAATGACTTATGATTTGGATTTTAAAAAGCATCATAGCAATGTTCTTAATGGAATAATTTCCAAATCCACTTGTGCATATACAAGCTTTCATTAGGCATGATATGCAGCAACTACTTTGGCAATAATCCTCTATGCTTTATGCCCTTACAGATGCCTCATGAAGCACACATAACCCTGTTTTAGGAAATATCCTGTAGTAGCATACATTTTGCTATTTAATTGAAAAGTATTTTTAAAATAATTTCATTTATGTCACACGACATTCAAATAATACTCAGTTTTTGAGTGTGTGTTTCTTTTGTGCAAGCTTTAGTCAGGGTCTTCTGTCATGATGTAGCTCTCCTTGAGCTTGGGGCCATCTTCCTGCCTCAGGCTCCCAGGATTATAAGGCATGTGCCACCACACCTAGCACAATACTGTTTTTAACAGAGACAGGAAAACCTACTTAATCCAGTCCACTCCTGGCAGAGTTTAGAAGTTAAATGTTAAGAATCATGTTTTTGCACAGAGTGAAAAGACAGCCTGCAAAATGGGAGAAAATCTTTGCCAGTTACTCTCCCAACAATAGATTAAAAAAGAACTCCAGAAATTTAACACCAAAAATTTAAATAGCCCAATCAATAAGTAAACAAAATGAACAGAAACTTTTCAGAAGCTGTACCAATGGCCAAAAGTATATGAAAAAAATGTTCACCATCTTCAGCCACTAGGGAAATGTAAATTAAAGCTGCATTCACAGTCCATCTAACCCATCAGAATAACTATCATCAACAATACAAAACAATAAATGCTGGTAAGGATGAAGGACAAAAGGAACCAATACACATTGCTGATGAGAATATGAAGCCCTTATGGAAATCAGAAGGGAAGTCCCCCCAAAATTAAAAACAGATCTACCATATAATTTATTTTTCATTTTTTTATCTTTATTAAATTTGTTGGTACATTTTAGGTATACAATACAGTTACATTCACCACTAGGATCTTGTAACTATAGATGACTTACCAGGTTCTTCTTTTTCCCCATGCCCCAGCCCTCCCTTCACTCCCTCCACCTTTCCCTG